TGAGTAGGTAACCAGAGTTATGTGATAGAGTATTTGTATGCTATGTATGTTGTGTGTTGTACTGCATGATTTCTATGTGATTTATGTGGTGCATGTTTATCAGAGCTAGAACCTGAGGGTTCACAGAGTTTGGGTGCACGGACCCACAGAGTTATAGCCTAGAGTGGCTAATATGTGTTATATGTGGTATTTTGGGGAACTCACTAAGCCTTGTGCTTACAGTGTTGATGTTATTTGTTTCAGGTACTAGTGATGACCGCGGGAAGGCGCCGGCTTGATCCGTATACACACACGTTCGGAGCTTGATATTATGATCTTGGGATTTTGTACTGTTTTGTTGGATAATTAAAATGGTTGTTTTTATGAAAATCGATGGAATTATGTTTTATAAAAATTGAAAATTTTGTTTGAAATTTTCGGTGTTACACTCTGGACCTCTATGGATCCAGATCCATAACCTCAACACAAGGAGGGAACCATTGGGCATCAAATCATCCCATAAATGACCATATTAAGCCCTAAATCGCATAATGCTTCACCAAACAGAATATGGACCGAAATCATACCTCTAGATTGATGATCTAAGCTCCAAATCCATGAAATAGCAACCTCCTTTTCTTCCTCTTGCCTAGAATCTCCTTCTTCTTTGCTAAATGGCACACACAAGGTCAAGAAATGCTCCTCTCTCTCCACAATCACTCAAGAACACAAGGGTCTCTCTCTAAGGGTTGGGTGAGCACAGATGACGGTCATAAGGCCCTTTAAATAGGCCTCAAGCCCGGGATTTTAGGGTTTCTCTACACAGCGCAGACTCGCCGAGTCGATATCCTGGACTCGCCGAGTCCAGGCGCGATCCATTGTCCAATTCCGCGTCCCTACTCGGCGAGTCTGAGCTCCAACTCGCCGAGTCCCCCTCATAATTCAACAAAATTAACTTTACAAAATACCTGGTAAAATCTGGATATTACATTGGCCATCGGGGACACCTTGTCAGGACACGGGGTATACTGGAATTACGCTCATCATACATCCCATCTTCACTCTTTCTACTCATTTGGTTTTAATCAGTTAAGACCTTGGCTCATATCACAAATCTAGACTCCCTAATAGCTCTTACTCCATAAAGTCAGTGACTTTAAGCCGTTGCATGGTTGATAGGGTCACCAACACACAAAACTCTCACTCTTCTATCACAAAATACTCATATCTCATGCATGGCTTGATTCCAACGTCCAAATCTTGATTTTGATGACATTACCCCACCAAATACACTCAAAGGGGTTGGTCATAGTCTCTGGAACTCAAATATCATATAAAGTCTCCAAATTTTTGGAAAAAACCCAAAAATAGTCTACTAAGATGCACAAATCAAAAGAATGAGAAAGTTTGAAGCTTTATACCTCTATATGAAGCTCCCAACATGGATATGCTCAGATCCAAGGGCCTAGACTCTCACTCCTTCTTCTCTAAAGCTTATTATTCACTCCAAGAACACACAAAAACATTCAAAGGCTCTCAAATGCACTCACAAGCTCCATGAACGAAGGTTTAGGGTTTAAGAGGGTTTTCAGTCTGTGGATGGTGGTCAAGAATGAGCCCATCTTATTCTTTATATAGGGACACTCCTCAACTAGGGTTTTTCATTTAGTTCCTATTACGCCTAGCGTACTAGGTGGCTCTGATTAAAAGTCACGCACATGAGTACGCTAAGCGTACACACACGTACGCCCAACGTACTCAGTTGCCACCTTTCTCAAATAAGGGCCTTATCCTGCCAAAACTTCAAACTTCTATAGCTTGCTCGATATAACTCCGATTCCAATGGACCTTATACCTACGGAAAGGTTCCGTGATGCCCTATGCTTCTAGCAACTCCTCGCAACCTCGAGGCTTCCTCATGCCTGGGTTGCAGCCCACAAACCCTAATATCAGACAATCTGAAACAGGATGTTACAGTACTGCCACCACCACCACCACCCCAGGATCTAATTTCTTTTTCTTTCATTGCAATCATAGGGTCCAAAAAAAGGCCCATTGTCTGAGTTTGACTACAGCACAACCGATGTCAACACCTGCTCCGACAACTCTTCGGAATTTTTGTATAACAATAGTTATCATGCCAACATTGATGGACATCCTTTTGAGATGCTTTACAAAAAGAAGTGCATGACCCCGATATGTTGGGGTGAGGTCGGTCGGTGGGTTATGGGGAGGACTGAGTTGGTACTCAAGACCACCGAGTTGATCCATCAGGTTCAGAGTAGGCTTCAGAAAACACATCATCGGCTGAAAAGTTATTCCGACAGACGTCGATTAGACTTTGAGTTCCAGGTGGGGGATATGGTTCTCATGAAAGTGTCTCCTTGGAAAGGTGTCATCTAACTTTGGAAGAGGAGCAAGATGGGCCACATGTATATTGTTCCTTTTAGGGTTTAGGCCCAGTTAGGTCGGGTTGCTTACCGCTTGGATCTTCTAGCTGAGCTCGATCAAATCCACAACACGTTTCATGTCTCTCAGCTATGAAAGTGTTTAGTAGATAGTTCCACAGTGGTTACATTGGAGGATATTCAAGTGGATAACCGCCTGAATTACATTGAGAGACCGGTGGTGATTCTTGACTGAAAGACAAAAACCTTGAGGAACAAGGTTGTTGAGTTGCTGAAGGTGCATTGGCAGAACCGCAAGGGTTCGGAGTAGGGTTGGGTGCCAAAAGATGAGATGAGGGAGCACTATCCGGTGTTATTCTAAATGGATTTTTAGATGTGTTCTTGTTCCCTGCCATCGTAAAGAAGACGTTGCGTGTGAAAGGCACTAGGGTTTACACTGTGATGGGATACGAGAGTGAGAGAGAGGGAGATTGTAACACTTAGAAACTTTTAAGTTTCATATTTCACCCTTGTTAATTAAAAGTTTGCAAAATTGGTCCCTAAGCTAGTACGTGGGGCGTACTAGCTTGAATTTGGATCACGATCTTGGACCACGTATGCTGGGTGTACATGGAGTATGCACGACGTACATGGATTAATGAAACCTTAATTTTATGGTGTTTCACCTTATTTAAACCTTGTGATAGCCTCATTAGTTTATGTTTAGACAGCCTCCATCCCTTATTGTCCAGAAAATCGAACCTTAAGTAAGATCTTGAGAGTTTGCGCCTTAAAGTGTGATTTTTAGGTGCTTGTGAAGAAGAAGAATAAGTGAACCATTTGGGGTTGTGCTTAGAGATTGAAGATCTGGTATTTGTTCTTCATTTGCTTTTCGTGTGAGCTAAAAATCTTCCATACTGCTTATACATGTTGCTAGATCTAGTTTGGTGCCATTTTTGTACTTTTTGGGTCCATGGTTGGGTTGTTGAGCCTCTTGATTCACTCCATAAGTGATTGATGGCAGATCTAGGGTCCTTTAGGTCCCTTTGTCTATAAAAATGCAAGCTTTATGGCACTTGTGGTCTCATGCATGTGTTAAGTCAGTTGTTAAGCTCGAAAAGCCTTATTAAGCCATGCATGTACGTAAAGTTGATAACTTTACGTGATAAACCACCTTAAGGAAGTCAGATCTAAGTGTTGGAGTGAAGTCTTAGATGTTTAAAAGCTGAATGAGAAAGTTGGTTAAGAGGGAAGAGTAAGCTGGGCGTATAAGCAAGTACGCTGCGCATACAAGCCTTTAAGCGAGTATACTAAGCGTACGAGCTGAGTATGCCCTGCGTACTCAACAATGGGCTTCTGATTTGTGTGCTTCTTGGTTTTGGGCCATGTTGGACTTTAGTTGTCTCAGGCCTTGTTGGGCCATCATAATTCCATTACTACGTTGTTGATATTTTATTGGACTCGTTGGTTAGAGGCCCATGAAAGAGATTTGGGCCTAATTTGGATTATTGGTCCATATTTGGGATTTAGGTGAATATAGTTGATTTTGGGCCTTTGGATAATTAGAATGGGCCTTGGCCTTGGTACAAGACGGGGAAAGGGTAAAAAGGTATTTTACCCTAGTTTGGACTCTTAGTGTCGGTCGGGATCCAATTATTAATTGGATGTTATTTTGTGATTGGTAGCGCGAGGATTTTAGTGGGCCAACAGACAGAGATTTATTTATCTGTGAGATTCAGTAGTATGAGGTGAGTTACCTCACTGGGTTTAGCGGGTCTAAGACATAAATTTCGGCCCTTGTTTATTATGCTAGGATGGTAGCAGTCCGCGTGACCCTTGCATGTGTTATGTGTTGCTATGTATACCAGATGGGAATCAATACCGTGCAAGGCCCAATTATTGTATTGTATGCTATTGTCTTTGTGATTATTGTATGTGTTAGAATGATTATACGTTATATGTCTATGTGTATCGTGGGCATGGCCCGACGTCAAGCGGGGCCTAAGGAGTAACATATCTGTATACCGAGCGGGGCTCGATGCTGGGAGGGCCTCAAGGCTGAGTGGGACTCGATACCGGGCGGGGGCCTAGTATGTGGTTTATTATGTATGGTATGTGGTAGTTTTGGTAACTCACTAAGCTTTGTGCTTATAGTTTTCAGTTTATGTTTTAGGTACTTCAGGATCGAAAGGGAAGAACCCATGATGATTGTATTGCATACACCATCTTATTCTGCATTTTGTGATTACTCTGATATTTTGAGATGTTTTATACACTTTAGTTTATCTTGGTTGTTCGACAATGTTTGGATTATAGTTTTAATTAATTTAAAAATAAAATTTTTAGGTCATATTTTGGGACGTTACAGAGATTGAGGAGAGAGAAAGGAAGACTAAGGCAATGAGATACAACTCTAATACCATGCCATCAGTCATATTTTCCCATGAAAGGAGACGGGTTATTATTCTTCATATCTATATCTTACAAAATACAATACATGGGCCAAGCCTAAAATACGCCATGGACAGAAACTATAGATTACTCTGTATACATGCCCACTAATAATTTCATCTGAGAAATAAATTAGAAGTCTTCCTTCCCTCACTCCCATCACATTTGTTCTCCTCACCTCTTTCACTTTCTGAATCTTTTTAGAAACCACTTGTAACAACCTGTGGTTAGATGGCCTCCAAAAAGAACCCCTATCACTAGCCGACTTGCAACTCCTGTAACAATAAAAACCCAATCAAATCCACTTGGGAAGTCAGACCAAGTAGCTTCAGCTGATGAGATTGTTGGACGCTCTGATGCTTTTGGATCTCCACAATCCTTAGATAAAGGGTCACCACAAAGTGCTGAATTTCCCATGTAAGACATGTTCAGAAAGGTATTGAACTGTCCACCTTGAGGTATAGGGCCAGTGAGTTTGTTGAATGACACATTTATGAATGCGAGAAAATTCAGTTGTACTAGCGCTTGAGGAATCTTTCCAGAGAGTTTGTTACTAGAAAGATCCAATGATTCAAGATTTGTCAGGTTCCCCATGGATGATGGAATGATACCAGAAAGCTCATTATTGGAAAGGTTGAGCAACTGAAGATTACTAAGGGCTTTAATGGCTTCTGGAATCTCCCCCTGGAACTTGTTACTTGAGAGATCAACCGCTATAAAGATGTTCAAAATTTCTCATACTCCGTCTTTACACCTTTGTTAGTCATATTCATCGAGTATGAATAATTTCCTAACCAGAAGTACTTTTCCCCAAAAATATTAACATTTGCTTGCATATATGCTGCATTTTCTTCTGTCTCCTTCATTGATGACCAATCCTTGAAGTACCGATGTGGAAGATCACCAGAAAATGAATTAAATGAGAGGTCGATGATGCGTAATTTTGAGAATGTGAAGTTGGTTTTACTTGGGATCTTTAAAGCACCATGAAATTTGTTAAACCGAAGTAAGAGAACCTGTAAGTCTGAAAGTGCTCCTAGCCAGAAGGGAAACATGTCCTCCATACGATTATTTCCAAGATCAAGGATCTGGAGTGACGCACAGTTTTCCAATGATCTTGGTATCTTTCCCTCTAATTGATTTTCACTTAAATTGATCATTAGAAGCTTGCTTCCATTACTGAAAGCATTGGGAATGGTTCCTTGTAATTTGTTACCCCTAAGATTCAGCACTAACAACGAACTGTTTAGTTTCTCCAAGCATGGAGGAATTGAGCCACTGATGTTGTTAAACGACAAATCAAGCAACTGGAGAGAGTGCAAATCACATATGGATGGTGGAATTTTTCCAGACAACTTATTGTTTGATACCACATAGTTCATGGTGGTTGATGATGGAACTGGGATCGATCCATGCAACACATTATGACGCAGGTCTAATAATCGTAAACCAACCTAAGGAAGAACTGGCCAATGCTACTCAAAACCAATTAGGGAACTTTTAGAAAAAGAAAGTGTATGCAGTGTTTCTTTGCTAATATTCCCAATCCAGTTGGGTATTAGCCCCTCAATTTTATTGTCATCAAGGTACACTTCCTGCAGTTGATCTTGAAATCTCAGAAAGTCAGGGAAGACTTTCAAGTTACAGGATTCGAACCTTAATATTTCAAACTTTGGCAGCTTATCACTGGTGATGTTGGTCATGACAGAAAGTGTGATTCGGTTTCCCCCTAGAGTGAGAATCTTTAGATTCCTAAGACCAAGGAAAATGTCAACCTCCACTGTGGTGTTCATGTTGTTATCATTCAACACAATTTCTTCAAGATTGTGGAGATTCAGAAATGACCTTGGGATGGGGCCTTTCAGTTGATTTTTTTGAAGGATTAAGCTCGTTAGCTTTGTCATGGTACTTGGAAAAGGTGGGACCCGACCTTCAATCTGATTCGATGACAGTAATAAATCTTCAACTTGGGTCAAGTTAAAAATTGATGATGGGATCTCTCCATACAGATTGACAGCAACAAGTTGCAAATAAGTAAGCTTATTTAGCTTACCAAGCCAATCAGGCAGCTTCCATCTATCAAAATTATTGAGGGAGAGGTACAAAACGTTGAGGTTTGAGAGGCTTTCTAAAGAGGGAATTCGGCCTGTGAAGTCATTAAACCTCTGGATCAGGTCTGTAAGGTGTGTTATGTTCGCAAGTCAGGATGGTATTTCACCAACCATGTTGTTATAGTTGAGGTAAAGTTCTCTAAGTTGTGTTTGATTCTCAATAGAAGATGGGATCTCACAACTGAGATTGTTAAGCTTAAGGTCCAAATACAAGAGGTTTGGAAGCTTACCAAGCCATGCAGAGAGGTTCCTTCCATCAAATTCATTGGAGGAAAGTATCAGATAACTGAGTTTTGATAGGCTGAACAAAGACGGAATACGCCCCCAAAACCTATTATGATCGAGCTTCAAAAGTGTAAGCTGTGTTAGGTTGCTGATTGATCCAGGAAGAGGCCCTGAGAAATTGCAACCACTTACATCCAACTGATTCAAGTGCATGAGGTTCCCAATTGACGTCGGTAGCATGCCATGAAAATTTGTTTCAGCGAGGATCAGATCTTTAAGTTGACTTTTAGAATGAAACTTTGGTAAATAACCAGAAAGATCATGGTTACCACGCATGTCAAGATGTTGCAGCATTGGTAGATGAAATATACCTGTTGGGAATTCACCCCTAAGCCCACAATCTCTAAGAACGAGTGATGTTATGGAAGATGTATTGGTCAAGATATGAGGTACTTCAGAATCTATGTTGACCCCTGAGAGAATGAGTTCTCTCAGAGTATCCGTTATGTTTTGAACTAGGTTTTTGAAGCTAAGAGCTTGTAGTTTTAATGGGTTTCTAATTAGATCACTACAAAAAAGATGTCAATTAGTGACCAAAGTGAAATGGTCATTAGCAATAGAACTAGTCGTCACTAAATGATTTAGTGACCAAAATTCCGGTTGTCACTTTTCGTCACTACAGGTCCGTCACAAAACCGAGTTAGTGACCAAAATAAAATATGGTAACTAAATAGTGACTAAAATATATGCGTCACTAAATCTGTGACGACGAGTTTCGTCATTAAAAGTTGTCAATAATCAATAAAAGTCGTCACTATTATATATACTCAGTGACCAATAAAAGTTGTCACTGTCTTGTTGGATTAATGACCAATAAAAGTCGTTACTGTCTTGTTGGATTAATGACCATAGAAAGTCGTCTCGTCACTGGTATATCCAATTAGTGACTATAACAGGTGGTCACTAATTTATTCAATTAAAAAAAAAGAGGTCAATAATTAAGGAATTATTGAAATATTAAATGACTGATTTTAATATGAAATATAACAATATACAATTAGACAAAAGAAAACGCAAATGCTATAAATCTTTACAATACAACAATAACCAAATAAAACTTCACATTTATAATATTAAATATTAAATGTCATTTTTAAAAATCAAAATCCATGCATATAAAGATCAATGTAGATTAAATGTAAATTTAATTGAATTTTCTTCCAGATAATGAGGAGCAAGTTTTTTGAGTATGCTCCATAAAGTTCCAACCTACCTGCATAGGAGCATAAGAATGTATTAATCACAACTGATAGTCACTAATTTTTTTTTTATCTTTCTGAGTTGATCGAGACACAAAACTACTCTGCCATGAAAGTGATGGACAAAAATGCCCTCACAAGCAGGAATAAGCTTGAATAAGCTCTTGAGGGCATAAACTGAAAAGGAAGTCCTGCAGTTTCCTACGTTGTATCACTTTTTTTGGATACACAATTTAGAGCAGAGATGAATCTTGCTGAATTTTCTGTCCCTATTTTACTACTTAACATTTTTCGCCTCGTAAAAGTTACGGGTCATTTCTCCAGAATAAAATGACCATTTTACCTTTATCTTCTTCATAAAAACTGAATTATTTATGAAATCGAACCTAATTACGAATCCATAATCTAATGTTATTAGAACTAATAATAAATAAATTGCTAGCCACCAACCTACTACATGTGAACATCGGAATATTGAGAAATCGGATGGAGCTGGCAGAATAATTTTTTAATAAAATATAGATATGATGTTAAAATGGTCATTTTCATAAAATTAATGAAATGGATGTTTACATTGACAATTCATGGTCAAAAAATGTTAAGAAACAGTAAATAGGAATGAAAAATGCAAGGACTCTTTTTTTGACCCATATAAAAAAGTGATATAACAGAGGGGGTCAAAATTGTAAATTTTAGAGTTAATTTAGAGATAGCATACCCAAATAAACTGCTTTCGGATATTAGTGCCAATTTCAGTTTGATTGATGGAGGATACCAGTGCCTAAATGTACCTCCAAAGAGCTATATAGGAACAAGATCTTCAAGGCACAATCAGAACTGCATTTGTATGTAACAAGCTACTAATTAACTTTAAGTATAAGATTATAGGTATAAATATGTAGTCATCATTGAGGTTAAAAAAATGAAATCAAACTAAAGATCAAATCAATACATACTTATTATTATCTTTTGATCACACAAATAAAAGGATACCTTCTACTAGAGACAATCTTCTTTCGACTGTTGCAACTCTGAAGATGCTAAAAGAACAAATACATAAATGATTTAGTGAATACATCATTAGGGTATGAAGAAAGAAGATAAAAAAAAATGAAATCCAACAAAAGATCAAGTAAATACATACTTATATTGTAGATAAATTGCATTAATAAGAAAAAGGGAAGTATATTGTTGTTATTCTAATCTTGAAATCAGCATAAAGGCTGAATTTTTGTTCTACACTTGAAAAACAGCAAAAAGGCTGAACTTTTATTCTTTTGCTACCATTTTATTTATTCCTTCCATTGCACTTGTTTAATTAATTGTCAAATCTATGAGTAAAAAAAATTCTTATCATATTCCCTCATTTTGTTGGACAATTGATTCATTATCCATTCTATCATAAAAATATAAATACATGTACTAAGAACAAACTCTTGTTCTTGATGTATTTGTACATGCTTTTTGATTTTGTATCATGCAATGAAGTGGTTAAGGCATCCACCACTTCCGATGGTATATTACCTCTTGTTAGGGATAGTTGGTCAATATTCAAATCTACAGTTAGATTTAAATGTGGCTCTTGTTCTTGATGTACTTCTTCCACCATTACATGAACATCATACAATATACGAGGGGCACTACTTTGAACCACGTACCAAGTTTTGTCCAATTTAAAATCAGGTTCATAAAAAACTTGTTTAGCTTGTTGTTTTTGGGACTAATGATGGAGTTGGCAAGGCTTTTCTGAATATACCAAGCAAAGAATCAAATGATTTGATGGACCATCCAACTCATATCTTGGGTCCTTACTCCTTTGACTTATGAACTATAGTCTATATTCATTCAAGACTTGTCCATATGCTATGATAAAAGAAAAAATTCACAGTATCTGTCTTAATAGCAAATGAGATTCATGTATATTACCTCTCCAGCACCTTCAATAGCTGCCAACGATTCATCAGAGAAGGGAGCGCCATGTGTGGCTAAAGACTTATTATCGTGCCTCTTGATGTTATTTGAACTCTTCCTGAAAACCAACCAAGAATCAAGTTTACAATTTTGTCCCCTAAGTTAGATATGAGTTATGATCAACTCAAGATAAGTGAAAAAAGTAGAAAAAAGCAAATAAATAAATAAATAAATGTACAACTTGCTCAAAGCTACTTACATCAACACTATTGCATCTTTATTCTTTCCTTCTTGTTCAACATCAACTTCTTCCCTCAAGCTTATCTTTAATACCTCAGCTACTTTAGCAACAAAATGACTGAATAGAGTGTTATACATGTACTTGTAGTTTCACTTGTAGTCGATTGTTGACTCACTGGAAAACTTGAATTAGACTCAAAGGGTCTTTGTCACATGACAAGTCTTGTTCATCCAAGACTTTGTCCATATGCTATGATAAAATAAAAAATCATGAAAAGAGTATAAATATATAATGACAGTGATAAATTTTTAAAAAACTCAAGTGGTAGCATTAGATTATCTTGTGGCACTTGAGATATTTTTGTGCCTACTTGTAATGGAAACATGGCTAAAGTTGTGGAAGGGCATCGCAGGTAATAAGAAATTAAATTCATAAGTAAAGAAAAAATTGTTATCTTAGAATAATAAACTTTAATCAGATAAAGATATATCGTTAAATAAATTGCATATAAACATCTCATGTCCTCTAATATATATATTATATCTAGGGTTTTATGCATAAGAAATGTTCTTCTGTTGCACCCTCCAATACTTTTCTATGACATTAAGAAAGAAATAAAACCAAGAATGCATTTTTTACAAAGGTATGATAATGTTTATAACTTTGCTACCACGGTGACAATTATGTAAATGTAATTCTGATTCATTATATACCGGTTTTTATCAGTAAAGTAAAAAAATGTTGTTAAAATGTTATTTTTTCTTCATATTTAGGTGTATGGAGAGGATAAGGAATTTGGTAAGATGTTACTGAAATACCCTTGGATTCTTTCCACAAGCATTAAGAAAAATTATGAGGAAATCCTTGCTTTTCTTTATACTAAGAAGGTATGTATAATAACCGATGCTCAATATCAGAATTGTTAAATGAAATTCCAGATTAAGTTATCATGCTATATGGTAAATTGTCAATTCATGTGACAAGATTTCATGACAAGTGGCAGAGGTTAGTATTCATCGAGCAATCAAGAGCTGGCCACTTATTTTAGGTTGTTCAGTTGGAAAACTCAAGTTGATGATTGATCAATTTCATGAATTGGGTGTTACAGATAAGATATTACACCAAGTTATTGTCACTAGTCCTCAACTACTAATTCAAAAGCCCCAAGAATTTTGCCAGGTGGAATTTGGATTTCCGTTGTGACTGAGGAAAGAGAAGTATGGAGATAACCTCTGAGCATTGTAAAAATTCAACAATTTGGTAGAATGACAGAATAAACAAAAAAGCAACTGATTGTAAACTATGTGCTAATTTAATCAAGCTTTTCTGTTTGTTGAGAAAGTCATGTTTCTAGTTGCTATGATTTTAGCTATTATTTGGTAGAAGGGAATCAGGATCTGATCGATTAGCAATTGAACAGTTAATTAGCAGGAAAGTGAAGTATGCCACATGAGAGTAGAAGATGTAGCTATATCCATGGTCGGAGCAGAGAAAAGGGTACTTGTTTGACTTCTAGTGGAGAACCGAGGTGCTTCCATGGGAAGGTGTGGACCGGCGACGATTGACCAGAGTCGACGGATAGGGGACGATGGATCGGCAAAGATTGACCGGCGATGCTGGTGCCGAACCGCCCGATGGTTGGTATGTTGATTTAGGGCAAATAGGGGAGATGTGTTGACGAGAGATGCCCAAGAATAATTTTAGGATCTCAACTTTTTGCCCTAGTCCGTAAAAGATAAAAGGGTCCAAGGTCGTCTATATTGAGAAGGGTAGTATAGTAAATATATTAGAGAAGAAGGTTTTGGTTAGCTGTGGAGGAGTCTACAGGGACTTAGATAAGAACTTGTCAAATAAACTGAGTCTTTGGAAAATTAGGTTCGTAAAGAAAATAAAGCTCTAGTCATTTTCAAAAATAAGAAAAATATTAATTAATGACAACAATTGATAGTCATTAATTTTTTTTTTCAATTTGTAAATCAATTACCACTTAGTGGTCATAGTTTAGCTTTGTAGGTTTAGAATAATAAATAGTAGTTAGTGACCACTATTTTTGGTCACCCAACCTTCAATACAGTGACCATTATTTTTGGTCACTAGGCCTCTAACACAGTGACCATTTTTTTAGTCACTAATAGTTATTTTGATATGAAACAAAAGTATTTTAATCTTATTCATGGTATAGTGACCGATTTAGTGACCACCACATATAATTGGTCATTAAATTTGTAGGATTACTAAAATTCAGTGACGACTAAATTTTTGGTGACTAAAAGATGTTGTTAGTGACTAAATTTTAGGTCGTCACTAAAAATTGGTCACTAATAAGAACTTTTTTGTAGTGGATCCAAGGAAACCAATTGGGTAAGTTGTGTGATTTCATTCGGGATTTGACCTCCGAAAAGAGAATAGGAGAGATTTAGATTTGCTAAATGCAAGTGACGTCCTATTCCAGATGGAATTTGTGAGAATTGGAAATCGTTATCTGCAAGGTTTAGGGTTCGAAGGTGGATGAGGTTGAAGAGAGAGTTGTTGGATTTAATGGGGCCATAAAGAAAGCTGCTGCTTAAGTCAATCCCAATCACATGACCTGAGCTTTTCCCACTGCACTCAACTCCATCCCATAAGCAACAATCGCTCCTGTTAAGCTTCCATGAAGCAACCTTTGGATAAGCATGAGGATCAGATGCAGATTGGTTTATAGAGATGTGCTCCTTGAACTGGAATAACATAGAGCACTCGTCATCATGTGCCAATGATTCACGTGAAGATGAAAACTTAGTTGCCAATGTGGATTGAAGAACATATAGCTCAAGTATCAGCAAAAACACATGCAATGGTTTTTCCATGATACAGAAGAAGAACTAGAAAAGAAAACTTATGTATACTAGGATGTGCAGTGTTTGTTATAGATTAAATTTTGTGATTATTTCCATTCGAAAAATAGTCTCTTTCCCAGGTTCTCTCAACGATCATTAAAATACTTAGAAAAGAACTTTCAGCAGGGAAATAGTAGTTAATTAAAAGATGAAAATAAGAGTTAACAATGACTAATTAATACGATGACTTTCTGCAACTGATGTTTGAAAACAAATATTATGCTTTTTGACAAAACTCAGTTGTTAAAAGATGCAAAACAAACCGTAAGATGACAAAGTGTAGTGTAGTGTAAACAGAGAAATAAAAATTCTTTTTATTACAATATTTGATTCTTGACTTGAAGATACCTAACATTTAACAATGACTTCCATACTTGTAAATATGAGTGTGACAACAGATACTTTTCCCAGATTATTTCCATTTGAGATTTTCAGCCTTTTAAAGAAGAATTAATGTGATGAAAATTTTTCTCTTTCTGGGGTTCACTTGGGAAGGATTAAGATACACAGAAAACTACTACACTTGTGGATGTGGGCAACTAGTTAAGAGATGCCATCTCACTCAAAACACACCACCTCATATGCCATGTCAAAATGGTATTATAATACAAAATGTAGGAAATGGATAACTAATTATAACGTGTTTATCTTTCTTTGTTATCATTTTTTTTTTAATTTTATTTTTGATTTTTACCAAATGTAGGAAATGGATAACTAATTATAACGTGTTTATATTTCTTTGTTAGCATTTTTTTTTAATTTTCTTTTCGATTTTTTAATTTTTTTCAATTTATTTATTTTTTATTGTTCTTTTTCAATTTATTTTTTTAATCCCATTGGATTAATTAAAAAAAACGAAACATGCAATTTAATTAACTCCTAGATTAACCATAACATTAAAAATGAGAAAAAGAAAACACTACTAGAAAACAGACCATTAATGACGCGCAAACAATGACACACACCGATAGAGGATACGCATTTGTGGGCGCCCCAAAAATAATTTTCAGTTTTCAAAAATCTTAAGGATAGAAGACACGCATTTATGCGTGCCCTAAAATTAATGTCAGAAAAGAAAAGAAAAAAAATGCGGAGGGCGCCTTTCATAAAATGTGCGTCGTTTAAGGGTGTCGGTTTTTTTTTTTTTTTTATTTATTTATTTTTTTTTAATGAAACACGCCTTTTAGGCAGGAAATGATATCGACAAAAATTAACCCCCGTCTATTAGATCCCCCAACATTTTGGAAGACCCGCTCATTCTTTCCCCTCCACCTATCGATGACCTTCATTTTCTCCCCTCCTTCTCTCTCTGTAAAACCTAGCAGCCGCCACCACCAGAAACATGGTTTTATGCTGTCCTTCATTAATAGCTAAAGGGGGGAAATCCCCAAAAATTTTAAAGTACCCTGCTCACTCTCTCCTTAGATCTCTGCTCACTCTCTCCTTAGATCTCCAACCGACGGATCGACCTTCATTCCCCCCCCCCTCTCTGTAACACCCTCGCTTCATAAATAAGTTTCTCTTTCATCCTTCTATGGTATGTATGTATGTTGTGATAATGCATGTATGTGTATATGTATGTGTGTGTGTGTGTGAGTGTTTGTGTGAGTTGTAAGTATGTATGTGTGAAACCATAGAGTTTGAGTTCATCGCATTTGTTCTTATATCCTTCAACTATGCAAATCAGAAATAGCACCCCAAAATCAAAACTTAGCAACAATTGATGAAGGTTACTGGAATCAAGAGAAATCATCTCCTACTCTGAATCGGAGACAAACCAGGTATGTACTCTTTCTTTATGGCGCAAAAGGGCATGAGCGATTCGAATTAATCTAACCTGTCCATTTGACGACCGATCTCTGCTACTACCAAACAAAGATTATAATTATATCACAGACAATGCTCTTAAATCAACCTTTGGTTGATTAGTTTTTGTTAGAAAATGTCATTTGGTTTCCTTTCCTGTATTTATTTCTCAAATTTTTAGGTTCTGTGAGAATTGAAAGTCAATGTATTCTGATCAACAGGAATGTGCACATTATGTGTTTGTTAAAATGTCTAAACCAAATTTTAAGCTTCATTAGACCACTTAATCTATCGCATCAGCCATGAGGCATTTCTTTTCTGCAACCAAATATGTAATATGGATTTTTCTGATTTTACATATCAATAATATTGAACCAAAGGGGGTTTAAACACTAATAGACCTTTTGCATAGTGCTGAAATTAGGTTTTAGAGAAACTGCTATATATAGATTTAACTTCATATTTTTGCAGAGAGTTGTATCCTTTTCAATTATTTATATCTTATTTTGTTAATCAATAACTGTAATTTCCTATTTCCTTCAAGATATTTGGAAGAGGCCCTGAAGATTATGGTGAAACATTCCATCTATTTCCATGAAAAGGTCAGACTTTAAGCCAATAAGCCATGATTGGTTTGAAAAGTAAGTTACAAATGATTCTCTTCAAGAATGGTTGTTGCTTCCATCTCTGAAAATCAGTTGTTTTCTAATTGTAGATACTCTAACAGCTGCTCATGCCTGCTCATGTAAGTGTGTACTTCATAACACTCATCATTCTTTTTAAAAATGGTTTTGGTTATTTTATTTATTTTCTTTTGCTTATGAATCAGGGGTGAAGCATATAAAGGGCCAGGAGGGGTTGTTGATGAGACAATCAGTCAATCAGCACTCCTGCCTTATTCTCCAACTCCAAGTATGAAGTCTGAATTCTAAAGTCTTGCCTGAAGCCTGGAATTAATTGATCAATGTGAATACTGAATTGTGAAGTGAAGCCTGGAAAAAATGACAATCTTAATTACTTAATCAGGTTTGTTTTTTTATTTTATAATTTTTTTTCACAATGCAGGATTTGAACTTACAAAGATCAACTTAACGACACAAAAAATAACTAAGATAGTCTATATATTGTTGAACTTACAAAGATCCTTCTATCTAGATGTTTCTGCATTACTGTCCCACAGTTTCTTTTTTGTCAAGAAAAGCTTAAATCTTACACAAGAAAAGCTTAAATCTTATTTGTGTACATTATGGCCATCCAGTGCTTACATTCACCTTTGCAGGATGGAGCATCCCAGACAAAACAAAATCTTGGTAAGTTCACTTATTCAGTAAGGGACAATGCAGCTGGTGCAGTTGCAAAGATTATTATGGCCCACCAGAATGTTGTCCCACTATATCAGGTCTGCATACTAGTCTTATATATATATATATATATATATATATATATATATATATATATATATATATATATATATATATATATATATATATACTTTAGATTATGATTAGGGATGTTAATCGGGTCAACCCGATTGGGTTTCGGGTTAATTGTGTAGGGTTAGTCGGGTTTTTAATTTGAAAAAATCACCCGAAACCCGACCCTATTAAGCTACGGGTTAGTTGGGTTCGGGTCAATCGGGTTTCGGAATGATAGAGTCGGGTCAATTGGGTTAGTCGGGTTGATACTGGTAATCCATTATGTAATCTAATTTTCCTATTTTCATAATCTATTAGAAATAAATAAACATTACATTCTTTTTAACTAACTTGGTTGAATTTATCATTCACATAAGGTTTACTTTTGAAGCAGTTTGTTTATCATTATGGCGGAACATTTTGAACATTTTGGGTGCATGAATAATAGAAAGTCCATGCAAGTGATTCTAGGAAGAAAGTAAGTGCACATCTTATTTAATTAAACATTTTGGTGGTATTACTCATATATCAATTGCAAATTAACAAACGAATTAAAAATAGTATCAAACATGATGCATCAAAAGCCAAGAGTGAGGAAAAAAAAGACAACAGTGAGAAAGTTATAACATAAATTAATAAGTATAATATAGATTCACTAGGAAGATCAAAAATAATTTAGTTAATAGGATCGTATTTATTAATGATCTAACATGGCATTTCAAGTACTTGATGAGATTAAGTATTATTATTCGGGTTATTCGGGTCAACCCGAACCCGAAAAAATGATATACAACGAACCCGAACCCGACCGTAATTATAGTTCGGGTTTATCGGGTTAACCCAAATAACCCGACTATGAATTTTTGACCCTATTAAGCTCGACCCATTTAAGCTTATTCCGGTTTGGGTCGGATCGGGTTAGTCGGGTTCAGGTAGTTTTGACACCCCTAATTATGATTTAGCAAATAATCAATCAAACTATCTTTAATCTTTCAATCATCAGGTCCATCCTATACTCCTCAAAGTTCTTCCTTTGAAAAAAGATTATGAGGAATCCAACCAATAGGTACTTGTATAAAATGTTTTCTCGTTATATAAAACATGTATAATGATGGTTTTCTGGAATTCTAATAAAAAGAAAGAAAGAATGTAATTGACATTGACTAATTTCTCATCATTCTTTTATTCGGTTGACCATTAGGTGTGGTTTGTACTTGCGTTTGTTTCTTGTTCACAGAGAGTGGTGACACACGAGGTGAACATGAATTTACATGAGCATCTATTTGAACTACACGTTTGTTTGGAATTGATAAATGAAGAGGTAAGGGATTATTGGAGAAGGATTCTGCTGTAACTTTCCTCTTTGAAGGTAATAATGGCTTCGATTGGCCTACACTAAGTGATGAGTCTTGATTTGTAACATCCCGGAATCGCAAGAGTAGAGTTGAAGGGCTAAAAGTGTAAGTTTCGGAGGGTGAGTCGGCGAGTCCATGGATAGACTCGGCGAGTCAGGTCGCGACTATGGTCGCGTGTCAAGTGGCCTACTCGGCGAGTCCAAAGATGGACTCGGCGAGTAGGTGCTCTATAGAGAAAACCCTAATTTTCGGGGTTGAGCCCCATATAAAGAGCATTATGCCCCTCCATAGCCTCCCGTATTCCCCCTTTGAGTCCCAGAAACCCTAAATTCGTGGAGAGTCCCATTATTGAGCAAATTAGAGCTTGGAGAGGTGTTGGCTGAAGAAATCTTGAAGGAGAAGTGGCTTGGATCAAAGGGCTTTGCTTGGATTCGAGTTTCATTGCTATTGAGGCATCTTTTGGAGGTAATACTTTCGTTCTTAGGCTGTGTTTTCCTAGTTTCTCATTTTGGGGTTGTGTGGGGTGCTTGGTTGTGTGGCATCTTGAAGTTGGAGGATGGATCTGAGGTTGCTACCTCAGATCTAGAGTGGAGAAGATCTTAAGAGCATTAAAGCCCCTGTTCTTGTGTTGTTAATGGAGCTACCATGTCCCAAACCTTGGTTCTAAGGTGAATAAGGCTTAGATCTCTTTAGATTCACGTAAAGTTTGCCACTTTACGTGATGGATGGATTGTAGGAGGTTGGATCTATGTTTTGGATCAATTGCATGGCCTGAGATGCTTCTGTATGGATTCAGACTGGTGGTACTCGACGAGTCACATGGGTGGACTCGACGAGTTGCTTGAAGATGGCCTAGAACTCGACGAGTTGGAAGAACAACTCGGCGGGTAGGTTGAAGATAGCCTTGGACTCGACGAGTCCATTTGGACTCGGTGAGTCTTGTCGAGGAAGTCCCAATATTTATGGTTGAGTCGATGAATCGGTGAGTCAAGGGATGACTCGGTGAGTTGGGTGCGAGTGGACTCAGAGTTGTTGGACTCGACGAGTCTTGGGGTGACTCGGCGAGTTGGGTCGCTAATTGAGGGAAGTTCTGAGCATAAGGACTCGGCGAGTAGGGTTAGTCAGGGGTTGACTTTGACTTGTCCAGGGTTGACCAGTTGTTTTTCAGGGGTATTTTGGTAATTAAGAGTATTTATTGAGTTGTATGTTTTGATGTTTAGTGGAGGAGTTCGTGTCAGAGTTCGGAGCAGCGGGATCTTGTCCTTTCAGCCAGCAGTTTCGAGGTGAGTTATCCTCACTATATATATAGGGTTTAAGGCACCAAGGCCGACCCTTTTATCGGATGGAAATCCGGGTAATTGTCTGTTGTATGATATTGCGGGATATGGGCCGGAAGGCATTACATGTTGCGGGCTGGAAGGCAATGCGGTATGGACCGGAAGGTCATGGCCTGGAAAGGTGTATGTGCATAATTAGTATGTTGGCTAAGTCGTAGGGTGATGTTATGCTAGTGATCGGCTAGGCTGGTATCTTGGTTAGGGTAATGATATGTTATGTGATCTGTTGATCGATTTGCTAACTGTGAACTGCTATATGATTACATGTTATGTGTATGGTCGTCTGGTCTGGAGTGTAACCCGGTATGCACGGTTGTTCTATGTTCTGTCATGATATATATATATATATATATATATATATATATATATATATATATATATATATATATATATATATGCTTTTACGTTGCGGGCCGTAAGGCGATATGTTATGGGCCGGAAGGCAATGTGTTATGGGTCGGAAGGCATTACGCAATGGGCCGGAAGGCGATATGTTTGGACAGGAAGGTTGTGGCCTGGAAGGGCGTATACGTGGTTGGTATTTTGGGGGTATCTCATTAAGCTTTCAGGCTTACAGTTGTGGTTTAATGTTTTTCAGGTTCTTCAGGAGACCGTGGCAAGGCGAAGGCGCGATCGTACCGCTCCTCATGATTTTGTAGCAATGTGATTCTGAGAATACTCTAAATGATTTGTATTGAAAACCTTTTTGCAAACAATTTAGTGAAAATCAGGTTGTTTTGAAAAAAAAATTAAATTGGTTGTATTTTTCGGACGTTACATGATTGGAAAGAGGTTCCATTTGAAGAGGTATTGATAATGGCTGAGATGCAATGCTGCTCATGTCTACTGGACTTGATGAAAAAAGCTATCCAGCATACCCTATTGACTTCCAGGATTATAGTCTACAATAAAAAAGGAATTCAGGGATATGAGAAACTTCACTCAGGTAATGTTTATCATATGATATAAAACTCAAAATAGCGCAAATACAAGATGACTAGACAACTTAATGAACCCCACGTATATTTAGCACCTAGACTATATACACTAGACATATATAGAAAGGAAGTTCAAGAATGCCCAAAACATTGTATAATATCAACATATGATTCTGCTTCTGCATTGATAATTTGATTAGTTGCTGGAAAACCCTTAAGGAGAAATCACTATTAACTCAACTATCAACCTCATGCCTGTTACAAGCTACTCCATATACAAATAATAGTTATATCAGTTCTTTCCCATCTCATTTTCATTGTCAGTAGCAATACTGCTGGAACAACTTATCTTGATGTTCTTACTTGATCCAGTTATCAGTTGAACTTGACAAAAACTGGTTTTAAAATATTGTGGAAAAAAATCTTGGAAAGAATAATCTCGGAGCACTTGCAGGAATGCCATTACACAGGAACAAGAAAGATTTTGGAGTACATGGAGTGTATTATAACAAGTCAAACGTATGAATGAAGCCAAAGCTGGAAGAGTCACATTAAGGCCGTTGGATAAGGCTGCCACAACTTGTAATGTTGATGATAGTGAACGTCAAGCATCACACATGACTCCCCGGTTAGCAATTTCCCATGATTTTTTTCCTCATTGACTTTGTTGTTACTAAGCTTAGTCTTCATCCGTTATAGGCTAACAATTTAGCAAAGGAATTATGAGTTAGATATGAAAATTAAGGGGAAGTCAACTAGTCAAATAAATAAGGTCAAACAGGTCAAGGCTTGGGCTAGGGGTCTTTTAGTCATTTTACTTGTTAGTTTAGTATAAATAAGAGGTAAAGAGGAGGAGGAGTTGAGCATCTATTGATTTTGTTCTTAGAACTATGTTCTTGTAAATGGGGTTTTGACTTTTCTGGTGCAGTTAGCAAATGAGAAGTAGCTTGTTGATCATTACAACTCCAAGCATCCAAAGGAGAAGCCTGCAACTTGTAAATGGGGTTTTGTGTTGTCTATTTTTCTTTTTCATTTGCATGATGATGATATGTCTAGTGTTTCTTTTTCTTTGACATTTTTATAACATTTACTCACTATTGGAATAATGATTTGTATTTGAGATATTAGTGAAATGAATTATCTTTGTTATTAATGGTATTTTATTTTGTATTATGAGTTTTTTAATGTATTATTTAATTTAAAAATTAGTAAATCTATAAATAATATTTTTTTTAAACATTTAAAATTATGATATGCAAAAATGTGTGTCATCTTCATTTATGACATGGACTTTCTTGACAAGGGCTTTCTTGATACACATTGCGTGACATTAACACACCCGTCGTAAGGTTACGACACGCGAATACATGTCGTCTTCCTTTATGACAGGGCCTACCTTGATGCGCATTGCGTGTCGTGAACGCGCATCGTAATTGCGCGTCGTAAATGAGCGTCGTAAATGCGCGTCATCTCTCTTTATGACATGGCCTTCCTTGACGCACGTTTGCGCGTCGTCTGAGCCTTTTACGACACGCAATGAGCATTGTAAAAGGCTGTTTTTCTAGTAGTGAAAAGAAATTACACACCCAAAAAAAACCCATTGTCCTAAAAACAAAAAATCGATCAACTAGTCATATTGCTTTCCGATTTTCTCCATCTTTTTGGGCACTTACGCTTCTCGTGGTCCCATATTTTATTCGCTAGGTTGAATAATTGCTAAATCTTTCACCATTTGATATTTCTCTGCTTGCTTACGAAGAAACTCCAAGTGCTCACATTGCAAATCAACCTTTTGCTGGGAGATCAGATTGTGTTGGTCGAACATTGCTTTCATTTCCGCCAATTCTTGTGCCCTTCTATCAGTTTCGTCCGCGTGACGTTGAGCGCATTTCGCTTTGTCGATTTCGATCCGTCGTGGAGGGGGGTGGGGGTGGGGGGGGGGATCTTTTCTTTGTCGTCGGGGATCTCATCTGTGTCGGCGTTCAACTCGATGTTAGTTCATGCGTCAGAAATGTCAAACGAACTAAAATTGCGAGACCTCTTTGATTGTGCTCCGACAATGTTATCGCCTTATTCCATTTTGGATATAGCCTAACAATCTCCCATATTTTTTCAAAATCGAAAGTGTGCCTTGTTTCTACTTGATATTGTTCCCGCACAGCTTCGTACACATCAAAATCATTTGCAACACTTTGTTTTTGCGATTCTAGTCTCATGAAAATCCGATTAAACTTGGTATAGCGGTGACTGATAAGAGTTCGCTTGCTACTAAGCATATCGATATTGCGATATGGCTATTTCTTCATAAGAGTGTGTAATTTGCCAAGCACGACTTCCCAAAACTCAATTCTTTGCATATAATTTCTGATGACTGAACTCTTTGAAGTCCCGCACCGCACCACCGCCACAACATACTCCTCCTCCAGTGTCCACCATAGTGGAAGATCTTCTTCCGTATCTGCGACTGCCTTCCTTTTCCTTTTCCCTTTTCCTTTCCCTCTCCTTTTCCGACTGCCTCCCACTTGTGTTTCGGGAACAATTTCTTGTTGTGGTGGTTGTTTGTTGCATTGAAGTGAAAGCACCGAAAAGGCGAAAAGGTTTTGTTAAAGATTTGGGTTTTGCTGCATGTAAGGGGAGGTAGGAAACTGCAATATGGTGAGTTTGAGTTGAACAATATGGTGAGTTTGAGTTGAACAGATTCATATAACTTCCGTATTATGTGAACCCCATTGGGATGGATGTGTTTGTGTTTGGAGGTGGGGTATTCGGGTTTTGGTCCACATTTGGTTAAAAGGAAGTGGTTTTTTTTTAGTTGAAAGTTTAAAATAGTATGAAGATAAGAGAAGATTGTGTGGTTGATATTATTTTTTGTATGTGTATTTATATTTAAAAAAAAGTTAATTTTTTTTTGAGATATTGACCATTCGCCAACGGTAAAAAAAATGATTGTTTTACATGTTATCAATCGTTATAGGGGCAACGGAGGGCAATGAAATGGCTGGTAATGGACGAAAACATGTGGGGGGTGTTTAGCCGTGACCACAATGTTATGCCCATACCACGTCACATAAATGAATGTGGGTGTTGCCCACACCGTTTAGTCTAAGCAAGGAAATACTAGTTAAAAGATGATAAATATTAAGAGTAAACATTGACTAATATGATGACTTTCCGCAACTAACTAAACTAATACATGGATATTAATCACTATCGCTGCCACCACCACCACCACCATCGCCCAACACCACTACCACCGCCACCGCCAACGTCATTGCCACCACCGCCAACACCATTGCCACCATCGCCACATGTATTTATATGTATTATATAATCATATATGATGTTTCAGATTAAATACATAGAATCAAACATGATTTATTTGATTATACGCATTCAATTATATTTGGTTGTAGGTAGTAGGTAGTGGTGGTATGGTGGAGATGGGTGTTGGTTGGTGCTGGTGAAGGTGGGGGACGGTCGTGGTAATAGGTGGTGGTCGTGGGTGATGGGTGATAGTTGGTTTATTATAGTTCTAGGTGATGGGTGGTATGTAGTGATGATGTTGGTGAGTGGTGGTAGGGGTGGTAGTTTAAAACTCATATTTTTCATCATATTGTAATTTATTTTGAACAAATATCATTCAACAATGTAACTTTTAAATTATATATATGATGGTTGTTTTACTTTCTTTACTATGTATTTAACTGTTACAATACTACATGAAGTCATCCGCCATCGAACGATTCTGCCGTTCTGGTTTGGGGGTGTGACACCTTTTACCCTAGTTTGGACTCTTAGTGTGGGCCGGGATCCAACAATTAATTGAATGTTATTTTGTGATTGATAGTGTGATGATTTTAGTAGGTTAGCAGCCAGAGATTTATCTGTGAGATTTAGTAGTGTGAGGTGAGTTTCCTCATTGCGTTTAGTGGGTCTAAGGCACCAATGTCGGCCCTTGTTTATTATGTTAGGATGCTAGGAGTCTGTGCGACCCTTGCATGTGTTATGTGCTGCTATGTATATTGGGCTGAGCTTGATGCCGGGCGAGGCCCAATTTATTCTATGTTATTGTATTTATGATTATTGTATGTGTTAGCAAGATGATGTGTTATATGCCTATGTGTGTCGTGGACGGGGCCTAAGGAGTAACAAATTTGTATACCTAGTCGGACTTGATGCCGAGCGAGGCTCGAGGCCGAGTGGGACTCGATACCGGGCGGGGGCCAGTATGTGGTTTATTATCTATTGTATGTGGTAATTTAGGGAATTCACTAAACTTTATGCTTACGGTTTTCAGTTTATGTTTCAGGTACTTCAGGATCGAAAAGGAAGAGCCCACTGTGATTGCAGCGCAACACCACCTTATTCGGCATTTTTTGATTTATCAGATATTTTGAGATGTGTTGATACACTTTTGTTTATATTGGTTGTTCGATAATGTTTGGATTATAGTTTTACTTAATTTAAAAGTGAAAGTTTTGGATTATATTTTGGGACTTTACAGAGATTGAGGAGAGAGAAAGGAAGAATACGACAATGTGTTACAACTCTAATACCATGTAATCAGTCGTATTTTCCCAAGAAAGGAGACGGGTTATTATTCTTCATATTATATCTTACAAAATACAATACATGGGCCAAGCCTAGAATACACCATAGACAGAAACTATAGATTACTCTATATACATGCCCACTAATAATTTCATCTGACAA